AAGTTTGGGCACCCTGCAGAATTTATAGCATGCACATCCCCCTTTGCAAAGCTGAGACCTGCCAGTGTCATGGATTGTTCTCAATCATCGTCTGGAAGACCAGGTGATGTCAATCTCAAAGGTTTTAAATGCCCAGACTCATCTGACCTTGCCCCAACAATCAGCACCATGGGTTCTTTTAAGCAGTTGTCTAGAAAACTGAAACTGAAAATAGTTGATGCTCACAAAGCTGGAGAAGGCTATAAGAAGATAGCAAAGCGTTTTCAGATGTCAATATCCTCTGTTCGGAATGTAATTAAGAAATGGCAGTCATCAGGAACAGTGGAAGTTAAAGCAACATCTGGAAGACCAAGAAAAATATCAGACAGAACAGCTCGCAGGATTGTGAGAAAAACAATTCAAAACCCACGTTTGACTGCACGATCCCTCCAGAAAGATCTGGCAGACACTGGAGTTGTGGTACACTATTCCACTATTCCACTATAAAGAGATACTTGTACAAATATGGTCTTCATGGAAGAGTCATCAGAAGAAAACCTCTTCTACGTCCTCACCACAAAAATCATCGTTTGAACTTTGCAAATGAACATATACACAAGCCTGATGCATTTTGGAAAAAAGTTCTGTGGACCGATGAGGTTAAAATTGAACTTTTTGGCCGGAATGAGCAAAGGTACGTTTGGAGAAGAAGGGGCACAGAATTTAATGAAAAGAACCTCTGTCCAACTGTTAAGCATGGGGTTGGATCAATCATGCTTTGGGGTTGTGTTGCAGCCAGTAGCACAGGGAACATCTCACGAGTAGAAGGAAAAATGGATTCAATAAAATTTCAGCAAATTTTGGATGGTAACTTGATGCCATCTGTGAAAAAGCTGAAGTTAAAGAGAGGATGGCTTCTACAAATGGATAATGATCCTAAACACACACCTCAAAATCCACAGGGGATTACATCAAGAGGCTTGGCTGGCTACAAAAAGTGTTTACAAGCTGTGATACTTGCCAAAGGGGGCAGTACAAGATATTAACTCTGCAGGGTGCCCAAACTTTTGCAGACGCCATTTTTCTGTTTTCTGTTATTTTGAAAGTGTAAATGATGGAAATAAAATCTAACTTTTGTTGATATATTATAAGAATGTCTAATCTGTAATTTGATGCCTTTTGGAGATTTTTCCATCTTTCCTTGGCTTCTTTATGCACATTAATACAATTTTTTAGCTGGGGTGCCCAAACTTTTGATCCCCACTGTAGCTCTTCAATAATGTACAGTAGATCTGAGCCAACATTTCCACCCCCCCACATTTTCTTTTTTGTATCAATATCAAATAAATATAGTAATCAAACAGTCCAAACATAAAGAGCACTCCCCTTCTGAAACATCGTTGGGGGGGGGGGGGGGGGGGGGGGGGGGGAGTGCTGTATAAGTTTTGATTATTCTATTCATGTCTCATAGCTGAGGGGCCTCTGGGGAAGCTGACAATCACTGGCCGGGGCATGGTGGTCCTCTACCCCAATGATTATTAAAAAGGTACCTACTCCGTGTATAAATGGCAGCTATTTTAACCGCTTTCTCACTGACCTATAGCAGATATATTGCTACAGGGCAGCAGAGGTGCGCAAAATCATATATATATATATATATATATATATACATACATACATATATATATACATACACACACACATATATATATATACACACACACACATATATATATATATATACACATGTATGTGTGTGATTTTACATTGCCAGGTAGGAGGCAAGAGCCGCGCATGCACCCTACCCGCGTCGCTATTCACAGCCTCGGCTGTCAATCACCGGGTCCTGGCCAGTGATTACTCGCCGGCACCCAGTGATCGCGGAGCATTACCAACGGAGGGAGAGAACTGTAAGTAAACAATACAGTTCTCTCCCCTGTCAGCTCCTACACTACATTGCATGACTGCAGTTAAAACCCTTTCATCGCCCCACATGTTAAACCCTTCCTGCCCAGTGCCATTAGTACAGTGTCAGTGCTTTTTATTAGAAATGATCACTGTATTGGTGTCACTGGGGATGTCAGTGACACCAAGTCAGTTCCCCCAGTGTCAAAATGCCCACCGCAGTCCTGCAATAAAGTCGCTGATCGCCACCATTACTAGTAAAAAGAAAAAAAAAAATCCCAGTATATATACCGCCATTTGTAAACGCTACAACTTTCATGTAAACCAATTAATTTACATTTGATCATTTTACAGCGCTGCATTTTTATATGTATATAAATTAATTTACACGTATTAGTATTTGCAAAGTCATGCAAAGTCATGTAGCAGAATACATTTTGGCCTACATTTATGATGAAATTTGATTTTTTACAATTTTTTTTTTTACAGGACATGTTCAATACCAAAAGTCAAAAATATTGTTTTTTCTCAAAAAGGTTTTTTTTTTTTTTTTGATAGCGTAAAAAAAATAAAAAACGCACAGCCGATCAAATACCACTGAAAGAAAGCTGTTTTTGTGGGTAAAAAGGTCGTACATTTCACTTGGGTGCACTGTTGCATGACCGCGCAATGGTCAGTTAAAGTAACGCAGCGCCGTAACACAAAAAATGGCCTGGTCAGGAAAGGGGGGCATCCTCAGGAGGGCAAGTGGTTAAAATAATAGGACACGTACTATATTTTTGAATGCATTTGATCCCCTTGGATTAAATTACTACCTTCAACAACATTATAAATGGAATAATCCAATGCATAGTACCTACTATTTGGTATAAGGATATTTGGCTAAGCAAAGCTCCAAGCTTCATCTACTTATCCCCATTTTCTCTGCCGTCCTTTTTTTGTCTTACTCTTGAAAATGAAACCCTCTCAAATGACAAGCTCATTGTCTAAACTGCCCCATACTGTAACATGATTTATAAGGACACCATATTGGTGTCACCTGTGTTTGCAGCATCTCCATAGTAACATTTCTAAACTGACTGTGCTAATATATGGGTAACAACTACAGCCATGATTGTTGATTTTACTGCTTTATGCTTTTTAAGGTTGTATGTACTATGCAAAGACACATTTGGACTTCCGTATGTCAAGCACAGGGGGATTCTGGTATAGTGTTTTGCTTCATGGATTGTGGCTAACTTGATCAAACATTGGTTTTGAAAAGTCTATGCTATGCTATACTGTGAAACAATTGTTCTGACTTGTATTGTAAACTAAGAAATGATACAATGTACATATGCAGCATACCTTCAGTAAACATTTATTGAAACAAAAATAAAATCATTTGGAGATTGCTTATCAGCCAAACACTTATGTTTGAGGGCAGCTTCACACTGGGCCTGCTTTTGCTACAGCACAGCTAACCTGCTGTTTGTGTGGATTAGCCGCGCTTTCCCATAGACTTCTATGAGGACCTATGGTTTTGCTGAGGTTTCAGAAAGGGCATGCTCCATCTAAGGTGCACTTTCTGAAACCGCACCAAAACCAAGGGAAATCATAGAAGATAATGAAAATGCCATGAAGATGGAAACAAAAACAAAAAAAAAAAAAAGCACAAATTTGGATTATGGAAGTTAGCAGAACCACTGCTTATTTACTAAGCTCTGAAGCAACTGCACTTGCAGAGTGGCACTGCACATAGCAAAGTGCACAGTCTATTTGCCTTTAGTAAATCAACCCCTATATTTCCCATAAAGAGCAGCAGGGATCTCACAGGGGCCACCCTAATTCAACAACTGTCCAATTATCTTCCTGGAGTGTTGAATTCTGTATAGAATGACAAGAGGTTGCAGAGCTGGGGAAGGTAAGAGTGATAAGTCTCTTTTCTACTAGCTCTTTGATGGGTGTTTAACCACTTGCCAACCGCGCTATAGCCGAATTACAACTACAGCGCGGTTGTCCAGTTCTGGGATGGTGTCATATGACGTCCTCCCAGAATGCGCCCTCCCACGTGCCCCAGGGGGCGCGCACCTGGCGATCTCCATGATTGCTGCGTCCTACAGACACAGCAGATCACATGATGTGTCAAAAGCTGCCTTTTACCACGTGATCACCGGCTAAATGCAGTTGCCAGTTATCGGGTGCACTTTCCTCACGCTGGACTTCTGATAACCGGCAATTGACAGAGGATGGATCGACACTGATGATCAGAGTCCTGATGATCAGTGCCCAGCAGTGCCACCCAGCAGTGACTCCCACCTGTGCCCACCAGTGCCGCCCACAAGTGCCCAGCAGTGCCACGCACCAGTGCCCCCCATCAGTGCCACACAGTGCTGCCAGTAAGTGCCACCCATCAGTGCCGCCTATCAGTGCCCATCGTTGCATATCAGTGCCACTTCATCACTGCCACCTATCAGTGACCATTATTGCAGCCTCCTCAATGCACATCAGTAAAGGACAAAAATGACCTGTTTGCAAAATGTTATAATAGAAACGAAGAAAAAAATTTTTTTCCAAATTTTTTGCTCTATTTTTTGTTTATAGCGCAAAAAAAATAAAAACACAGCGGCAAGTAAATACCACCAAAAGAAAGCTCTATTTGTGTGAAAAAAAAAATAACATTTTCATTAGGGTACAGTGTTGCATGACCACACAATTGTCAAAGTGTGACAGCGCTGGAAGCTGAAAATTGTCCTGGGTAGGAAGGAAGTATAAGTGCCCAGTAGGCAAGTGGTTAAACCAAACAAGGTTTCGAAGTAAAAAACTAAGAAGAAAAGAGGGGAAAGAAAAAAAAATTTTATCTAGAAGGGGCACATTGAGTGACATCGCCCATCTTCAAGTAGGAATGTACATGCAGGCTCACTTGATATATATTTTATACATTGCTTGCAAAAACGACATTGTGTGGTCAGAGAAAGACTAGGCACACAACAGGATTTTCACTTTACTAAGGGTGGTGTTAAAGACTGAACAATCTATTACATATGTGAAAGTAATTTTTTGTAAAGTGATCAATTACACTCTTATAGTGAATTGCCACCTAGCCAAAAGCTGACCTTTCCTAAAACAATTGTTACCTTTCAGGGTTCTTAATTTCCTCTGTGACATAGTTCAGTGTGTCCCAGCCGGAATAAGAGAAGAGAGCGGAATACAGAGCTAACGATATGTCACCAGCGTGCCATGATGACCCAGCAAACGAATCCTCAAAGTGCTCGGTTTTCCCTGGGGGGGGGACAAATCACAGTACAAATGAAGCACACAGCCAATTTGTGAACTTCAAAGCTCAGAACATCGAATGAAAACTGTGAATGCTTTTGTCTTCTAGTGCATCCACCCTGATATTAAATTTGTTAGACTGGCACTTGCTATTTACATTTACTGCAAAGCAAATTAGATCAAAGTCCACAAATCTTTTCCAGCTTGTCAGTCATATTCAAGTACAGCAATAAAATGGTGTAAAGGAGTGTTATGTTCTTATTTAAAGCTGACCTATTGTTTTTAAAAAAATAATTCCTTGCTTTAATATTTACAAACTCTAAAAAATATAGTTGCAGCACAACCCCGTTCATTTGAATAGGTCACGTTCCGGGATAGTTGTGCCCAGTGGGCATGTTGGGGGATAAAACAGGCGGTGAGGAGGCGACATATCACTAGCTCCTCGCCTGTCAAATGCCTTCTGAAACATAATCCAGTCCTATCAGATATAGCATGCTAAAAGGAAGAGTGGCACACAATCCTTTATGCTGTATTACTGTGGAGTTATTTGGGACCCAGAAACACTCCAGGCCTTGAAAAATAAGGAGTTCCTTTTCTTAAATGTAAATTTTTAGAAGCAGTGACTCATAGTAAACCATCAGAAACTATCTAGTTCTGGTCTGCACAGGAAATGTGAGTGGTTGCTATGGGGTTCGGCATCTTTGAATTAGCATTCAGCCAAATAATATCATAGGGGAGATTTATTACAATTCATGCACTCAGAATCTGGTGCAGCTGTGCATAGTAGCCAATCAGCTTCTAACTTCAGCTTGTTCAATTAAACTTTGGCAATAAAACCTGGAAGCCGATTGGTTTCTATACAGAGTTGCAACAGATTTTGCACTCTCCAGTTTTAGTATTAACCCTCCATATATTTGTTTTCGCATTATTTTAAACTGCAGTTTTTATGGTCAACTTAGTACAAACAGTTCTCCAAGTTCCTCTAACTGTGAAAGAAATTAAACCTGGAGAATTTTACTTAAGAAAAAAAACAAAAAAAGAAAGAAAAAAGAAAAAAAAAATCCATAATGCAGTGTGTTTGCCATTTCAAAGCTAAAACATACAAAAAGGCTACAGAAAGGACATCAAAGGGAGGACATCATAGCAACTGTCCTGTCAGCCGAGTGCTATAAAAACAGAGACTCGGGCAGGCCTATTCTACAAAACAATGAAAAGAGTAATAATACCGTGCATGCTGCTGAAACCATAACAACCAATTAGAAACAAACAAACTACTAATCTAACAAGAATAAACTGAAAATTAATTGGCTGCCATTAATGTACACTTTACTGACAAAGGGCTTGTTCACATGTGCGGCAATTTATTGAGCCCCTCTGAAAAACAATCAGCACTGGATAGCTGTTCAGGGGCATTTGACAGGAGGCGAGGAGGTGATATCCACCTCCTCACTGCTTGATTTAACCTCTAAACGCCACACCACCATGCCACAACCACATGCATTGCATGCAGCGGTGGACCAGTTGCAACACGGCCCCACAAGCTCGCATGGGTCATGTTCAGCAGCATCAAATGCAACATACTTTTTAATTATTTCTGTGGTATGTGTACAGTCCTGAGTGGCTGCATGTCTGTGGGCAGTCAGGAGGCAGTAAAACCATGGCTCAACTGCCTGGTGTTACCGCCCCCTAGCTGCACATGTGAATTAAGTTACTAAACCTAAGGACTGCAGCCGTGTTGCCCTGCCCACCAGCACATAAAAAGATGAATCAATTTTTCTTTTAACCTCATTTTATCAAAACATTCAAAAACACAGCTACAAGGTGATTTACAGTTATGTCAGGTATTACACGAGTAAGTCCTGTTACCTTTCCAATCTGCCACATTGTTTGTGAACTAGTAAATGTAGTTACGATTACACAGGTATTAATGTCTTGTCCTGTATCACCTCAGTTTCCTGCATTCCAAACATCAGATCGGCTGATGGCATTCATACTTGTAGGACATGATTTCTATACTATCAAACCAGGAGAGTTTAAGCTTCTACAGGTACCCCACCAGCATCAGACATTTGTTTAGGATTTTTTTTCTTTAAATTGGAAAGGATTTTTTTTCTTTAAATTACACATATACACACAAACACACACACAAAAAAAAATATATAATATATATATATATATATACATACATATACATATATATATATATATATATATATATATATATATTATATTTATAATAACCAGATTTTGTGTTTTTTAGTTTTGAAGTGAAGAAGGGTTACAACACTTGTCAAGTTGTTATTGCTGTTTGTGCCCCAATTAGGTAGATTCCCTCTCTCTATTTGTCATGTTTACTGTTGTCATTGAAAGTGAAATAAAATCCCAAAATTATTGGATGTCCCCAGAACAGCAATAGAGGGAAGATCTTTCAAAGGGGGGCACTAGTTTTGGTGACAACTAGGGATTCCCTCAATTTGATAGGATTAGTTCTCACTCAAAGTTTTGGCTATGGGACAGAAAGTGATGAGAACCCCCCCAATGGGGCACAGATGGCAAAAAAAAAAAAAAACACCTGACAGGAGTTATGACCCTCTCCTACTCTGTCTAAAATGAAAGAAACAGTATTTCCTTTAGATCTACTTTAAAGCTGGCCAAAGATGGTTGGCATCTTCTGCTGAACTGGCCGAGATTGAAGCCATCCATAAGCAGGCTGATTGTATCCAAATCGATTGTTGTACAACTTGGGTAAAATCAGCCTGTCAGATTTTCCTGCGATTATTGCCAGTGGCTACAGCCGCTAACAATATTCACTGTGTTCTCCTGGCGGGGACAGCTGCCTCTCTGCTGGTAGAGCACAATAGTTTCGCAGGAGGGATTCCCCCATCAACATTGACTGTGTTGATAGGGGAATTGAGTGATTTTCTTTCCTCCAATTTGTGGTTGCAGGAAAGAAAATCGCATCATCGATGGCTTGCTTAAGCCATGGTGCTCATCCTGCAGTGCACGCAGCGGGAAAGGCACATCCACCAAGCAGTTTCAGCTTTCAAAACGGCACTGCGTTGCATGGGAATGGCTTTAATGGCTTTCCAGAACACTGAATGCCAAAGTCCTACTTCTCAATGATAAGGTGCCACTTACTGCTGGGGAAACAGGCTGGCGGAGAGGAGAGGAATGGCGTTCGGCTTAAAACACCACAGCACTACAGGGGCAGGAAACGCCACACAGTACTGCCTCTCCCAAAGCATGGAAGGGGGAGAGAGTTCCAGTAAATCCCCTGCCTGTAAAGAGAGGATGCCCGGGGGACCCCAAACCATAAAAGTGCACAGAAGAGAAAAGAAAAAACTTTGGAAATAGACTCCTCAGGACAGCCATGACAGACTGAAGCTTCCACCACACCAAACTTAAACCTGTATGGTTTTCTGTTACAGGAAACCCATAAACTCAGGTGTTCTGTGGAGGATCCACCTTTTGTGCTAATGTTTTGTAAGTGGAGCCGCATGCTCTTGTGTGCGGACCTGAAAGACAGACAATTTGGCCAGTATGTGATTTTAATTTATACTCATTAGTATAGAGAGGTCTAGTAGATCCGTTTACCATATAACTGGGGTAGGGACTAGGCGTATGTTGCGTATAAACTCCCTCCAAATTCCCATATTATTTTTTGGAACACCGCTGGATTAAAAAAAAAAAAAAAAAGCTTGGTGACAACCAGCACCATACTATGATGTGCAATCAGGAGTCCATTTTATGGACTTGCTCATTAATCATCTGCCCAAAGCTGGAAGTAATGAAGGCTTGTTTGAATATAATAAGAGGCCTGCATGCTGCTTGTCCTCTTGTTACTGGGAAACCAGTCTGATATGCTAGGCTAATATCCTGCAGCTAAGGCAAACCACAGCAAGCAAATGAAGAGAAGTATTCATTTACCAACCATTCTGAAATTCAGGCTCAGGCCCCTCAAACTTCTTTTCCCACAACTCACTGGGTTTCTTCCTAGACATGTCCAGGGAAGCAAAGTTTCTCCGCTTCCCTTTCTCATCAGAGAGGACACAACTAGGAAACTGAGCAAGTGATCTGCAGCCAGGAGAGTGGTCCTCCACTGTCAGAGCCGACATGCAAGCAGCCAGTCCAAACCCTAATAGCGTGCACTTTTCGGGAAGGCACAGCCACTGAGGGGAGCACCCCAAAATCATTACCAGATTACATTAGTTCCGGTGAGATGGCCCGCCTATGTCACTGGGCCTTGGACCCCTACAGCTGTATCAGGATAAGCGCAAGTAACTGTTTGTGAACTGAACTGTTCCTGAAGTAGTGATTCCCAGCTCAACTGTGTTGCTACGTAGTATTCTAGAAACTATGCTATGCAGCCACATACTACCCTGATTAAGCCTCAGAGACATTGCTGCGAAGAGTCCGTATTTGTATAATCATCATAATCCGTTTAGTATTTTTCTGCAGTGTATGAACGCTCTTTGCCATTCTAACCCTGTACTGCTTGAATCTAACTTTGTACCTGTTTAGAGAACTACACCTTACAGTTACTGTCTTTCTGATCATTTGGCCAATTGCCCATCCTGTTACTTAAGCACAATATTTGGAAAACTTCAGACAATAAAATCTGGAACTCTTACCTTGGCACAGTTTAACAATGCCCGTTATGATGATTGCAATTAACGCAATGACTTTGGCGTAAGTGAAGAAATCTTGAACCCGTGTCCCCCATTTCACATATGCACAGTTTATAAAAGTGATGAGACCTGTAGTGACAAAGAAAGTAAAACATCAATTTACCTTATCTGCAGAAAAAAAGATTTACGGTCACACATAAGACATTAGCCGGCCATAAAAGGATCGAATCTTGAGGGATTATCCCATCTACACTGACTGTGTTGATGGGTGAACCAAGCGATTTTCTTTCCTGCAACCCGTGGTTGCAGGAAAGAAAATCGCATCATCTATGGCCTGCCTTGCAATGAGCTGTCAGCACAGAATACTCAATTCAGAGGTGTCTGTGATAAACTCGTCCATTGGGAAGTCTGAGTATGTGTATATGTCTGAGTTATATATATAGCTGGAAACATACCATTACTCACAGATAGACAGTGTGCAAGTTAAAAGATGAATGCTGACTCACTGATCAGCACTCTTTTTCTGGGCTTTTTCAAAGGCCCTTCTACTGGTTCATTTAAAAAAGGAGTCAGGTTATACAGTGCTCAGCACAAAATGAGTACACCCCAACAGATTTGTCAGAAAATGTTTACTTTTCTTTCAGAATCAACATTTTCTATGGAACACTATACTACAAAATACTCCCAACAAATACGGGCCATTGATTGCAAACAAGATTTGTTAATTTGCATGCACAAAAACTTACAAATTCATTCAAGATCATGTTGCAAAAATGAATACACCCCAATGAAAGTCTTAGCAGCAAAGTGAAATTTTAGACAACAATAATTAACATGAATTCAACTACAGGTGAGTCTAATTATTCTTTAGACAGGAGTACAGCAGATAGTGGATTATAAAAGGGTGTTACTTAACAAAGGAAACCCTTCCCATTTCATGTTGTCAGCAATGGCACCACATAGAAGAGAAATGTCACAAGGCCTGAGAAAGAAAATAATTTCATTACAAAAGAAAGGTGAAGGCTACAAGGAGATCAGAAAAGCTTTACTTATCAGTCAGAATACTGTAGCAAAAATGATTCACAAATTTAACAAAGATGGAAGTGCAACCATCTCACAGAGACCTCCAGCCTGTCCATGGAAGTTAACAACTCAACAGGAGTGTCTTCTGATAAGAAGGGTTGAAGAAAATCATCATGCAAGTTCACTGCATTAGCTAAAGAGGTAGAAAGCCAAACTGGGGTGATTGTTTCCCGTGACACAATACAGCGTACACTGGAGAGGAATGGCATACATGGGTGTCGTTCACGAAGGAAGCCTCTCTTAAAGCCCATTCACAAAAAGCCCGCCTAGAATTTACTTGGGCCCATGCTGAAAAAGAAGACGACTACAGGGACTCTGTACTCTGGAGTGATGAGACCAAGATAAAGGTTTTTGGAACGGATGGCTTCAAAACAGTATGGCGTTGCAAAGGGGAGGAGTACAAAGAAAAATGCATGGTGCCTACAGTGAAACATGGTGGTGGCAGTGTCCTCCTGTGGGGCTGCACGAGTGCTTCTGGTGTCGGGGAGCTGCATTTCATTGATGGTATTATGAATTCAGAGATGTACTGCTCTATAATGAAAGATGCTACCATCATTCCGTGCCCATGGTCGTCATGCACGTTTCCAACATGACAATGGTCCAAAACACACATCTAAGGCCACTGTTGCATTTCTGAAGAAGAACAGGGTGAAAGTGATTCAGTGGTCAAATATGTCTCCTGATCTGAACCCAATCGAACACCTATGGGGAATTCTGAAGAGACAAGGTGAGCATCATTCTCCATCCAGCATCCAGGCTCTAAAAGAGGTTGTTTTTGAAGAACAGAAAAAGATAGATGTTGCAATATGTCACCAACTTGTTCATTCCATGCCTAGAAGACTTGGTGCTGTCCTTACAAATCATGGAGGTCATACAAAATACTAGATGTAGTAGTTTTTGTTGTGGGTGTATTCATTTTTGCATCAACTAATTTGAGTAAAACTGAAGATTTTGTAATCTAAATTATATTAACCTTACTTTCATGTAATAAGCTAAACAAATGTTCTATAAAACTCAGTTTTGTCAAAATGTTGGAAATTGTTCCTGTGTACATTGAGATATTGATTAAAATCTTACCTTTCAAAAGGGGTGTACTCATTTAGGCTGAGCACTATACCAAAAAAAGGAACCAAAGTGAGAAGCTAGATTCACACTGCTGAGGTGTGTTACTACAAGTGGCAGCCACTTTGACACTTTCTTTTTTTTTAATGCAGCATACCACTGGTTTGTTGCATTGAAACAAATATGTTGTTGTGTGCTGGCAAGGTGGGTCAGAGTGCATTCAACAAAAACAGCACCACCGTCAGTTTTGTAGTTTACCATGCATTACATTAACACTTTAAAACACCAAATAAATTGTAATAATACAAGTACCGTAACAATGTTTCTCATTGCATACACAAATGCTCAAAAGCCACTCACCTAACAACACTTGGGCTCCCCTCTTTTTTTTTAGCTGCTCATCTAAATGAGCCGCAGAATAAAAAAGGGAAAAACACATACAATGATACTTAAAGTGTTACTAAACCCAGGACCCTGCATTCACTATATCTGCTCTCCAACAGTACACAGAACATGAAAATGCAATTATTTTAGTAAATATAAACTGCTGAATACCTTTTCTCATCAGCAGTTAGAGCAGTCTTGTGACTTCTATCAGTGTTCAGCAGAGCACTGGTTAAAGCTTGTAGGAGGAGTTTTCTTTCTGCTATAGAAGGATGCAGAACCCCTGACCTCTGTCTGGACAGTGCTAACCACATGCACTCTCCCAACCCCCCCCCCCCACCAATACAAAACAAACTGAGCATGTGTAGAGTGTCTCCACAGAGATGTCTTATCAGGATGTAAGAGGGGGACACCGGAAGAAGGGGAGGATGAGAGAAGTCGTAATCAAACTGCATTTTTACACAATGCAGAGGATTACCCCTTAGGTTCCACAGTGAGTATAACAAGCATGCTTTACTGCATATACAGACTGATTTTACTGTTGCGGGTTTAGTAACACTTTAATAGCCTCTTTAGAACAGAGAGCAGATACTGATCTCTGCACAGAGATAGGACATCAGGTGATTACTCATCAATGAGCCCGCATCGATGTGAAACCCGCAGAATGTTCTCTATATACTGCTGCAGAGAACATTCCTGCATAGGTGGACAGCCCTGTCACTAGACCTGCCAAAACCACATGACGAATTTTCTCTTTTCATCACTTTTTTCCCCCCATTTTTTTTAATGAAAATTTTACCTACAGGAAGCGAGAGCACTGAGCTGACCCGGTCAGTATGATCCTTTACTGTCTAATTACAGGCTGTGAAAGGTCCTTACCCCCACTTTGTGGCCTAACCGCAGTGTAGTTTGCAGGGCGGTCACAGACACGGCTAAGCTGTCTGGCAGTACTGGCTGAACAGGTTTACAAATGCCTTGACAGCTAAAAACAGATTATATACGTATGTGTATGTCAATTGTGTATTCTGTCATTTGCCTGAAATTCAACTTTGGCATGTTCTGGTAGCATTTAACTTCTATAATATGCCTTTTATTACTTCTTAATAAAGAAGGGTTTTGCTTTTCAGACAGCTATATCTGGTGTTAAATAGAACACACCTGCCTGATGATATGAAGGCAGAACTGATGAGCTTAGAAAAGAATCATAAATGAAAAAAAAAAAAAAAAACTGACAGGAGTTCACCAACGATCCCCACATTTAAAGACTTTTTATGGGTTCCCACTTACAGCTCGGTCACACATGCGGCTAATACTGCCCCTCTGAAAAGTGATCTGCAATGGGTCACAGAGGGCATTTGACAGGTGATGAGGAGGCAATATGTCACCTCCTCACCACCTGTTTTAACTACTGAAATGCCTACCCACTGAGACGCACCAGTCTGCATTGCACACAGTTGCAGGATGGTCCCATTCAATTGATTGGGTTGCATTTGGTGGCAACCCTGCAAAGCAAGCCATCACAGCTGCTGTATGTGTAGAGCCCTGAGCAGATTTGCCCTACCTGGCCACCCATGTAAATAAGCCCCTTAAGTTACAATTTTGTAAAATGACAAAACTAAAACAAACACACAACATAAGAAATTACGTACATACGCAAGCAGCAGCAATGAGTCGGGAGGCCACGTAGGGAGATTCACAGGTAGGGAAGACGGGCTGTACCAAGTAGTTGGCAAAAGTGATGGCAATAACTGCCTGGCTAGTGGGTTCTATGATTAGCAGAGAAGTCCATAGTCTGATGAAGGCCACAAACCCACCAAAAGCCTCAAGGATATATGCATAGCTTGCTCCTGATTTTGTAATTGTGGTGCCAAGTTCTGCATAGCACAGAGCTCCGATCACAGAGAAAATACCACCAACTGTCCAGAGGACCAAGGATAACCCATAAGAGGCAGAGTAAATGAGCACTCCCTTAGGAGACACAAAAATCCCTGAGCCAATCATGTTGCCCACAATAAGACAGACCCCATTGACCAGAGAGATCTCTTTCTTGAGTTGCATGGAATCCTGAGGATTGTGTGAGCCCATGCTGGATTTATTAGTAGCCTCTTCAGGGCTAGAGGAAGTGAGAGGCACCGCCTGGCCTTCCGTCTCCTCCATGATGAAAGTCCAAAGTCAACCTGGAGGAAAAAAACAAAAAAAAAGTCAATTTTTTTCTATTTTTAAATACATATGCAAAATTAAAATATGTAAAAGGTTTTAAAAAAATAATTGACTCCTGTGTGCATGTATGGAAGTTATATCATCCCAGGTGGCCAAAGCTCCCCAACCCAAAAGAAGCCAGTGAGAAGATGTCTGTGCTGGTGAGGGAGCTTCCAGACTAGGCATTCCTTAAGGCAGTGTTTTCCTCATGGACCCCCAACAGGTCATGTTTTCAGGATTTCCATTATTTTGCACAGGTGATTTGATCAGTTTCACTGCCTTAGTAATTACCACAGCTGTTTCATCTGAGAGAAATCCTGAAAACATGACCTGTTGGGGGTCCATGAGGACTGGAGTTGAGAAACACTGCCTTAAGGGGAGGCAAGCATAGTTCCTCTTTACAAAAATACTATGGTTTCCAGGCACTTCATCAGCTCAGTCTGACTGAAAGCAACAGACAATATCCCTTATCCTGTTCTGTATATGCGTAAAATACGAATTGTAATTTACTGGCACTCGATTTTTTTTTTGTTTTTCAATACATTCTAAGGCCTGTGGTGTGTAAAAATTCCAGGAGGTCTGCAGATTCTGAGATGCTGTAAACACTATGCCTGACGCCCACAATTATTTGGCAGGTATAATTGCTTAGACTAGACATCTTCACCAAATTTGTGATCATATGAAAGAACCTTCAGACCTTCAGGCATACATTTACACTTTTGTTTTAAAGTGGTTGTAAACGCTTGCAAATATCCAGTGAAGTGACTGGCCTCAGGTAATACAGAGATGAAACAAATCCTCCTATGTAAGTTGTACCTGTTTTTCTGAGCGGTCTTTCCCCTACATCCATTCAAAGTGCAGAATTTACACAGGATCTCTAAGCTCTGAAAAGCAAGGGGCGGGGAGCTGAAGTTACATCAGTGTGGAGAGCTCTGAGAGCCCCCCCCCCCCCCCACACTTCACACAGCATACAGGAAAAGAGCTGAGGCTGTCAATCACAGGCTGTGCCCTACCCTGTCACAATCTTTTTTTCTTGGAGTCAGGAAAACGTGACTCATGCTTATTGCAGAGGGACCAGGCTGCGGACAGAAATTACACTTAGTGCTCTGGATTGAGACAAGCACACACACTATAGAGGGATATGCTTTTTTCATATTTCAGGTCTCAGGTTTACAACCACTTTAACATCAGGTGTACCACTAGTTATTGTATCTTGTTATTGCTGTGTATATTTTTCTTTGTTATGCAATTTTATATATGCTTCAAATAATACGTATGCTCAGTACTACTCCCTCAATTTTTAAAATTAAAGCGGAGCTCCACCCAAAAGGGAGCGAGTATCTGAATTTGACAGGTATTTGCTCCCACTTCCACTGCGACTGCCTAGGCGGTCGGAAGCGGAAGTTGTCATCCCTCCCCGTAGTCTTCTGGGACACGTGACAGGTCCCAGAAGACTATGGGGCCATTCAAAAAAGCACAGCGCTTCTCGCACATGCACAGTGGGCACCCAGCTGTGAAGCTGCAAGCTGCCACAGCCGGGTGCCCACACTGAAGATGCCAGCGCCAGGGAGAGAAGATGGCCGGTGAAACCAGCCATGGTGAGGACACTGCTGGATCGAGGGACAGGTAAAGTGGCTGTATTTTAAAAGTCAGCAGCTACTGCTTTTGTAGCTGCTGACTTATTTTTTTTTTTTTAGGTGGAACTCCGCTTTAACTTTGTACAGCAGCATAGAGGATCCTGGCATTAGATATATCATTAAAACAACCCTGTCAAGAGAAGGGTGGAGGCACCAGGGATTTTAAGCCTGTAATAGAAGCAGAATTATACTTGTCTATCTAATCAGAACAAGGACACCTCACAACCCTGCCACTGGTCATGGACTGTTGGGCTTGAGCTGCTGCTGGACTTCCCCGATTGCCTTTGATGAGATGATACACAGTCACTTTTAATGCATGAGGCTCACATACCTTCCTTGTTCTTCTGTCTCTCAGTACTGGATCACCCTGATCATCAGGAAACTGCATGTCCAAGTGTGTTCCGCCACCCTGTCTTCAGGTCTGGAATCACTCAGTGTGGATTCTCTGTGGACTATTGTCTTTCCTGTTAGTTCAAAGTGCCGTTGAATGTTTTTGTTATTTTTGCGGCAAAAGTAATGTAGCCAGGCAACTAGCATTTTAGAAGGAACAGAAGCCTCTCTGTTTCTCTCATTACAGGTTTCCTAACATTTATTAGCTAGAGCTTTAGGATGGCTGAAAAAAAAAAAAAAAAAAAAAAAAAAAAAAGTGTTGCTGCTTTTTAACACAACAAAAGAGCAGAAATGAGAAGAGTAGAGTTTGTTTTGGCAAGAGATACTTTGCACTGTTTGCAGGTAACCATTGTTCTTTGCCAAACTCATATATACACCAGCTGTCTGCAGCACAGCGCCTGGAGACCTAAGCTGGTCATATTTCCAACATGCTCGATCACTCAAATTCGATGTTCGCTCAAAAATGGGCTGTTGCTGTGGCCCACTAATGGTGCGAAATTTGAACAAAAATTCTTAGAAAAGATTTTCAAAAGAAAATTCTTTTGGAATTCGAATTCCGTGTATGGCCGGCTTTAAATGTGAATGCAGCCTACATGCTGGGTGCACGGGAGTCAAGACATGGGTGCACGGGAGTCAAGACATGCTGGGTGCACGGGAGTCAAGACATGCTGGGTGCACGGGAGTCAAGACATGCTGGGTGCACGGGAGTCAAGACATGCTGGGTGCACGGGAGTCAAGACATGCTGCCCAATTAAGACAGCTGAGAACTGAATTTCTAAGAAGATGAGAAAAAGATGGAAGCACATATGATAGCAGGGCAAGCAAGATCACACGTCGCAATACTGGAGGGGTCTTTTCGGAAAGTAAATCTGCGATAATATGCAAATATGCTGTGCACACTTGCACATTATGGCAAAAGTTCCCAGGGAGCTGAAAAGTTTAACCACTTCCCGTCCGGCCCATGTATATAAACGGCCGGATGGGAGCAGTGCAGGAGCGGGTTGCTGTTCATAAACGGCGCCTGCCTGTTTGGACTGGGAGCTCACGGCACCGCTATCCGATGCCTGCTGTGTCCGGAGGACACAGCAGAACATCAATCCCTGTACGAGACCTCTGTGTGAGGTCCCGATCATGTGATCACGGATTGGCCAATCAGTGATCACATGAATAGTAGTAAGCAAGATGTCCCTTTATGACATCATTGCTTACTACGTGTGAAATCTGTGAAAGATCACATGGTACAAGGCTATTCACAACAGCCTTGTACTATGTGACAAACTATAACCAATCACAGCTCACACAGTATTTCTCAATGGCTGCAAGAACGCAGCCAGAGAGAAGGAGAAATTATTGCTTTTACAGCCTTTATGGGTGTAAAAGCAATCAGTGTAAAAAAAAAACAATCATCAACACCCACAAGTAGTACAGTGTCACTATGGTGATACGGTACTGCTCGGGTGACTGTATGTTAAAAAAAACCACAACAATATAAAAAAATTAAATAGAAATTGTAAAAAAATTATTTTTTTAATTATAATTTTTGGTTATAAACTAATTTGGGTTTTTTTTTTATTAAAAAGATAACCAAATAAATGTTGCCCAATATTTATGAAGAAAGATTATTTATTTGCAACATTTTATAAGAAAAACACTTTTTTCAACATTTTTGGACTTTTTCATTCATATAGCAAAAAAAAAAAAAAAATCCCAGTGGTGCATAAATGCCAAAATCAAGTTTTATCGGTCTCAAAAAAAATGCTAAAAAATTCATATGGGTACAGCTTTGCATGACCGCGCAATTGTCATTCAAAGTGTGATAGCACTGAAAGCTGAAAATTGGCCTGGACAGGAAGGGCGCGTAAAAATTTCCGGATTTGAAGTGGTTAAAGTATGTATAGCCAAAGTACAAACACATGGTACTTTGCTACCATGTGTTCTGGCATGCATGTTAACGAGGTGCATTAGGGTGCCATTACTGGCACTGCTGCGTGCTCGCAAAAAGGAATGTGCGTTATTTTTGTGTGATGTGGGAACAAGCGCAATTTTGCACTCCTTCCTGAATTGCACAAATGTAAACCTAGGCTTACTATCCCAGTAAACTCCCAAAGGAAGATGAATTTCCCTTTTAGACAGTTGTCCCCTGAACAGGTTTCTCTTCACCATTTGTATGGGCGTTTAGCCATGCAGGGAATCCCAGTGGCAAGAATCTACAGATTCCTTCAGCTGTAGATGACATCTGCGTGCGGATAGACCATATGCAAAAAGGACAGGCTGCTGCAGCTATTTGTGACTATTTGCATTGCCAGTGATTACCTGTGGCGATTGCAGCCATCTACCCCAGTTGCAGAGATCAGTAGCCTCTTGCCTCTGTGATATGCAGCATGGATAAGCTCCTGTTCAATAGGTGCCTACAATTTTGGACTCCCCATCATTTCCTTCTTCTGTGACGATGGTCATCAGGACAAACTGAGGAGGTGAATCTCCACAACGTGGCACAGACCGCAATAAATACGTAACAGAAAGGACATAACACTCCCATTCTATCCAAACCTAAAAACAAACAACCAAAAAAGAGATTCTAGAGATTCACTTTAATTCCACTTTAAATATAAGCCACTGCAATAGTGGGAAAGGAACGTAATGAGTGTTAAAGATGCAAAATAAACTGGTCTTTTCTACAAATGCCATTTAAAAAAAAAAAAATGTCCCTTTAATTTTGTTGAAACTTATCCCCATGTTAGCTGGTTGTAGTGCAAATCCATAACACAGAATGAGAGTATCTGAATGCCTTTCCCTGGCAGTACTTGCAACACACTGATGGCAGAAGTCACAATATGCCACAATTTGTACATTTCATTAACGCCCCATGTTGCAGAACACCTACAGCTGCAGTCTCTGTCACACATTCTCCTTTCAGTCCTTATGTAAAAG